TGACGACGGGTAAACTCCGGTAGGTCCGAGTCGGATGGAAGGATAGTGGGGAGGGATGATAAACGTTTCAAAAACTCCTGGGAGAAGAGATCCGGTCCGCAAGTGGTTGAGACACTCCACGGAGGGGATGGGTAAGAGACTTGATCTAATGTCACAGCCAACGAGCTGTGCCACCAAAACAAACAAGGGCAAAGCTTACTGATGCAGAGGTTGGTGCTGAGAAGCGAAGCAACCAGAGGTGACACAGCAAGAGATGTGAAGAGATGTATTCCCTAGACTAGAAGGGGTAGTGAGGGAGGTAGGGCTGCTAGCTACCTACAGAGGAGATGGGGAATCGACGAGAAGATCAAGTCTGAGGTTCCCTGCCTCAGACTCCCTACTATATATACTAATACAATGGTGCACAGACCAGGTACCTATTGACCATCGTTTGGTCAGAGTTCTCTGCCTCATGTCCTACCCTCTGACCTGCCTCATGGTGACCCTACGACTAATACCTGAGTCGTGCCGAGTCCGGACCCCTCCCAATGAGTAAGCGCTCCTGCTGTCACATCAGTCACCTGTCTGTGAGTGAGGATGGGCGCTCCTGGCCATTCACGAGGTCTGGGGTTCGATCCTGGCCCCTCCACTTTCCGATACGAGTTGTCCGCGGTCAAGGTGAGCGTCTGTCTCAGTACACATGACCCCCAGGTCACGTGGCACGAGAAAACTGTGACACAGTCTTCGCCGACAGAAGAACTGCCCTCTGACTGTATTAGTATCTCGTTTGTTGCCACTACAGAACGACGACGTCAATCTATTCTTATCCCAGGCAGCATCAAGTACGAGTCTACAAGTGTCGGAGCTCATGCATTCATCGATTGTGGAGCAAGCGCCTCTCTCCTTAACCGGAATTTCGCGAAGAAGCACAAACTCCCTCTCATCACCTTACCCTCTCCCCTTCGTTTCACCAATGTCGATGGCACCACCAACACGGCCGGACCAGTCACTCACAAATTCGTAGGCCACTTCCGAATTAACAGCCACGAGTTCCCCACTGAACTCTACGTCGCGGACTGCGGACGGGACAACATCATCCTCGGAATGCCATGGCTCATCCAGTACAACCCCCACATCGACTGGGTACAAGGCAAGGTCTGTTTCGACGCCAAATACCTACGGGCGGAACAGCGACTTTGGGAATACCATCAACGCCCCTCAGGGAATCCCTGCCGACACCTTACCGCTTTCCTTCACAGAGACATCCATCCCGAATGCAACCCATCTGCCACCATCCGACGACTCATCCTTGGAGACGCCCCCATCGCTCGCACCACCGTATCGACCCAACTGGCTGTCGAAGCCGGATCGAAAGCAGCCGACGTCAAGGCTACCATCGCCATCCCAGACTACCTCAAAACCTATCACCAGGTGTTTGAGAAGAAGGCGGCTGAACGAATGCCCAAGCCCCGGGCCTGGGATCACCCCATCGAGCTCCGACCTGACTTCAAACCTTGGGACTGTAAGCTGTACCCCCTGTCTCCGCTCAAGATGCAGGAACTTCGGAAGTTCATCGATGAGAACCTAGCCAAGGGGTACGTCCGCCCATCCACCTCACCAATGACATTCCCGTTCTTCTTCGTGGACAAGAAGGATGGCTCCATGTGACCCGTCCAGGACTACCGCTACCTCAATTCCGGCACAATCAAGAACGTCTACCCCCTCCCCCTGATCAACAATCTCATCGACCAGTTGCAAGGGGCCAAGTACTTCACGAAGTTGGACGTCCGAGCCGGTTACAACAACGTCCACATCAAAGACGGTGATCAGTGGAAGGTGGCCTTCAAGACCCCCCTCGGCCTCTACGAGCCGACCGTAATGTTCTTTGGGTTATGCAACACCCCAGCGACGTTCCAGGCGATGATGAACGACGGTTTCAAGGACATGATCGCAGAGGGATGGCTCGTCATCTACATGGACGACATTCTGATACACTCCAAGACACAGGACGTCCACCACTGTTGAACGCAGCGGGTCGTGCAGCGTCTCATCGAAATGGACCTGTTCCTCAAACGCGAGAAGTGCGTGTTCGACGCTGCTGAGGTCGAGTTCCTAGGCACCATCATTCGCGAAGGATCGCTCGGCATGGACCCGGTCAAGCTCGACGGCATCCGCGCCTGGCCTATACCCACCACCGTCAAACAAGTCCAGAGCTTCCTCGAATTCTGCAACTTCTACCGACACTTCATCCGTGACTATAGCAAGATCGCTCGGCCACTGACACAACTCACCCGGAAAGATCTACCCTTTCATTGGACGCCCGAATGTCAGGTTGCATTCGACACGCTCCGCAACCTATTCCAACAGAAGCCAATTCTGTGCATGGCCGACCCATCTGCAGCCTTCCAAATTGAATGCGACGCCTCCATGTTTGCCACCGGAGCCGTCCTCCACCAGCGGAACACCAACCAGGACTGGATGCCGGTAGCATACCTCTCTCATGCCCTCTCACCTGCGGAACGCAACTATCAGATCTACAACAAAGAGCTCCTCGCAGTTGTCCGCGCCTTCGAGACCTGGCAGCACTACCTCGAAGGGTCCCCCCACGTCATCCAAGTAATCTCTGACCACAAGAACCTCACCTACTGGCGGTCTGCACAGAAGCTGACCCGACGCCAGGCCCGATGGAGTGCATTCCTCGGCCAGTTTCACTTCGAAATCCACCACCACGCCGGGAAGACCTTGACCCAAGCTGATGCCCTGTCCCGCCGCCCCGGCCATGCAGATGGGAAGCGTGACAATGAGGACGTTGTCGTCTTAAATGACGGGGTATTTATTTGAGCTGTCACTGATGATCTACTGCTGCGAATCAAGGACGCCACCCGGAAGGACACCAAGGTGGTACAGACCAGCGGTCGGGGACGTCTAACCCTCGTCAAGCCACCTCCGTACGGCAAACCCAAAGACTGAAAGCTGGACGATGGTGTTGCCAAGTATCAGGGCAAGATCTACATCCCTCCGAATGAAGACCTGCGACGCGACATTGTCCGGATGCATCACGACCCGGCAGTAATGGGCCACCCCGGACAGGACCAGAACATCGAACTTGTCTCACGCCAGTACAGTTGGGGTGGAATGGAAAACTTCATCCGCAAATTCGTTCAAGGATGCGCTATCTGCCAAGGATCCAAGGTTAACACCCACCCCGTGAAAGCTCCCGCCATGCCTATTCCCCACGCAGGAAACACACGACCGTTTTCGATCATCACCATGGATCACATCACGGGCCTTCCAATGTCCAACGGATTCAACGCCATTCAAGTGGTAGTAGATCATGACACCACCAAAGGCGCAGTCATCACCCCTTGCACTATCAACGTCACTGCCTTGGAAGCAGCCGAACTAATGTTCCGAGATGTCTACAAACGGTTTGGAGCCCCTCAGAGGATCATATCCGACCGAGGACCCCAGTTTGCGTCTGGGGTTTTTCAAGAACTGCAACGACTCGTAGGAGTCAAGACTTTCATCGGCGTCTTGGCCGACAACCTTCACCCCAGTGGACAGTTCACAGAGACTCAATACCTGGGATTCCTTTGGGCGATGATCCAGGCACGCGACCCCGCCACCCGCGTTACCGACCACGACGTATGGAGAGAAGCGGCCAACAACCTCGTCGACGCGTACAATGTCCGCAACATCCCCGTCTCGGTCCGCCAGTACTGGAACGGACGTGCCGTATGCCTCTACGACAACATGTCGGGGAACGACCTCCATCGCAGCGTGTGGGGGAACTTCTACAATGACAAGATCCTCGACGTCTCCGATTACGGTGACTCCCCTCCACCCACCCCTACCACACCTGCCGCACCCATCGAGGAGGTCCTCCGTTCGCGCAGCCCCTCCCCCGTATCCCCGCCCGCTGTCATCCACGACCTCCCCGCTGACGCCATCCCCACCCCTTTCTGTCCCAGGCGCCCCGTCCCCGCTAACCCTTCATCCCGTTCCCCATCGCCCCCCGCCGCCTCCCCAACCATCGCACCGTCGCCGTCCCACTCCATCACCTTCCTCTCCGGGGCCTACTTCAACCCCATTGATCCTGGCTTGAACATCGGCCTCTGGTACCCGCCAGCGCCCTCATCACCGCTCACGGAGCTGGACTTGGAGTTGAATGATCGGGACGATCGTGCTTAGAAACGGGGGTAATGTTACCATTGGTACGCCCCACTCCCTATCTTTTTCTATTGGACTACTCCTTCTCGTCGCCCTCATGTACACTCCACCCCCCTTCCTGTTCCCGGCGACCTATGTTTACCTTCCCGTTCCCCTGTCGTCCGCCTGTACGCTACCACCCCCCATTCCGCCCCCTGACGACTGCGTTCCAGTCCCGGCCCTCTCCCTTAATAATTCCCCTTTTGTCTATATGACTGGACCCTGAGTCCGACCCTGACCCTTTCCCTCTTTGTTACCTCTTGTATCCCTATATCCCTCAATCTAGGGACTTGTGCGATACTCTCTCCCCGTGTGCTACACCGCATACTTGGATAAGTCCGCGTGATAAGTCTGAATAGACTTGTGTTAGTACTTCAGCGTAACATCCTTCGCCAATCATAGTAGTAACACCATCCGCCGTGTGTAACAGTTGAGGTGTACCGTAGTAATGGAAGTCGACATAGTCGTCGAGACAGAATGTAAAGTGCATTGAAGCACCTGAGTCGATCATCCATACTAGGTTGGGATCATTGTACTCAGTTGATGTTCTGCCTTTTCCTTTGCAGCACGCACACTTAGCATACAAACAGTGGTGAAGACATGTATTATCTTCTGTAGCTAATCGTAAGGGTGTAGCTACAGGTACATCGTCGCGCAGACCATCTATTCTACGAGAAGAACTTGCGACACTAGTCACTACAGAGTGCAGGCAGTCAGCATACAACTCGTTAGAGGTCAAAGGATGGCAAACATACCATGTCCTTTCAAATCGTTGATCTCTTCCTCAGCATCAGTTAGGCCGAGAGACACAGCATTGTCCGCCTCGTCCATGAGATCGTCCAGACACTCCCTAAGTGTTGGAGCGAGCCGCTCCTTGAGTGTGCGTTTGCGCTTGGGCGGCGGCACCGGCTCTCCTTCGTCCGAGAACAGGGGGTCTTCCCCATCCGTTGTTAGAGGACTTGGTGCCTTCGTACGTCCAAGCCTTAACGTGGCGGTTCCACTCCTGATTGGAGATGGTTGGCGGCTGGTGTCTGGGCTGGACAGGCTGATGGACGCACCGGGGACGTCCGAGGAGACGGTTTCCGTCTCGCGCAATGTTTCGGAGGAGGTCTTCGAGGAACCTGTTGAAGTGGGCAGCTGCCGCACAAGGTTCTCTAACGTCCGAATGCGCTCGGAGGTTTCTAGAATATCACGCTCCTCTGCGAGGGATATGGCATGCGTGAGCAACGGGTACTTGTTGTTCCCTGTGGCCACGCAGACCAGCTTGCGCAGGAGGGCGCGTGGATCCAGCACCACGTCCGGACCCTAAGTAATGGTCGGTGTGGTGACGGTGTCAGCAATAGATGCGAAGTGTGCATGTTGGTGCGCACCTTGCTGCTGTCGATGACTGCGTCCACCACATTGCCTACGAGGGCGACCTTGTTGCTGCTGCCCTTGAGGGCGCTGCTGTTGCTGCTGCTGCTGCTGCTGCCCCTGAGGGCGCTGCTGCTGCTGGCGGAAGGAAGGGTCGGGGCCCTTGCGCTTGACAGCGCTGAGCTTGTTCGCACTTGCGCGCGATTGGCCCTGGCGACCTTGACGCTGCTCCCAATGGAGTACGACCTGCTGGCGGATCCCAGCAAGGGTGATCGCCTCGATCGCAGTCTTGCCCGTCGCAGGCTTAAAGCCAGCGATGTAGAGCTGGATCATCAGATCCATGTTGGAAGGGAGCTTCACCATAAGCATCATGCCCTTGACGTGGTCGGCAACAACAAACTTGTTTGTCCTGAGACGTAGGAAGTACACCTCGAACTTGTCCAGATTGGGGACAGGGTTCAAGTCGGCCGGAACGGAGAGAGCAAGGGGAGTCCGGAAGTCTTGGTAGACAGCCGGCAC